GTCTAAGCCACACGCGCCTGCCGCCACCGCCAATACCAAAACCGCCGCCACCGCCACCGCCACCGCCGTCACACCGGCGACGTCATTGCCGCCGCCCACGCCATCGCCGCGGGGACCGATCGGGGTGCCACGTGCGTACGCAGACGGCAGATCCATCGGTCGATGTCGATAGCGGCGATCCAGATGGCCGAGATGCTTGCAAAACGTAATCTCCATCATCCACAGCGGTCCGCAGCGCTGCGACACGCCGCCACCGGCCTCCTCCGCCCAAGCTTCCGTTGCTCGTGTCGCCTGCTGGCGCATGTTTGGTGCGGTCGGGCGACCGACAGACATACACAGCCCTTTCTTCTCCCGCAGCCACCCACGCATTGGCAGACGATCGCTGGCGCATTTCACGGCTGATTCCGCGATTTCTGCATCCGCTTCCCCGACGACCACGTTTGCGGCACGCCAAGATGGCAGGCCTTTTTCCCGATGACGACCATAGCTTTGCCGGCTCGCTCTAGACCATGGCGGCTATGGACATGACCGATCGCGAGCAGAACACCCGCGCGCTCCACAAAGCCGGCGGACGCATCTCCCCCGCGTTCGTCGTTGCAGACCTCGTCTGCAACGGCACCGTCGACGACGACGACGACGCCGTCGCCCAGGTCGAGTACGCTTCCGCGGCTACCCCCGCGGCGGCGGCAACGCCGGCAGCCGTGCTGGCGGCACATACGCGAGCCACACCGTGCAGCAGCAGCGCCGTGCCCAGCGGCAGCAGGAGGAGCCGCGCGGCTCGGGCCCGTCCCGCCCGCCATGCCGACCCAGCTCGACCAGCTCTGGGAGATGAGCGTCTACGACGAAGCGCGCAACCGCGCCTCACGCCGGGCACCAGATCGGAGTCGGGGTCGCGTGGATCCTTGAGCAGGAGGACCGCGACCCCCCGGCGCCGGCGTCGACGGCGCCTCGGACGCGGGCGGCATCGGCATCGGCATCGACATCGGCGCGGGCGCGGGCGCCGAGTGCGGCGCGGGCACGCCACCAGGACGCAGGGCGACAGGAACCACCATCTCGGCCGCTTGTTCGGGAGTCGCTAGGTCGGCCCATGCCGGCCGTAGGATCAGGAAAAAGAAAAGCGAAGGGGACCAGGATGGAGGTCTGTATCGCAAGGGACGCCAGGCTGAAGGGGCAGTTCCATAAGAATCGTTGCTTACCATGGATAGGCCGATAGTTCCTTGTTCTACGAAGTCGCCTCCGGTAGTGGATATTCCAAAAGTTTCGGGTCGCGGTCGGCGACAGGTACCAAGGGGGTGCCCGGGATCGTCGGCATCGTCACGGTGAACCAGTCGGTCACCGCGTCGAGTCGCTCTTTGGTGAGCTGCAGGCATTCCTGAAGCGTGGCGGTCTGGCGCTGGCTCGCGCGCAGCCGCTGCTGCGCCTTCATCAGCTGGTGGCGCGAACGGGCGATCCCACGCGCGCTCAGCCGCTCACGCAGCGTCGCCGTCGTGCCCGTCAGCGTCTCGACTTCCTGCTGGAGCACATTTTGCTCGTTCTGTAGCTGCCGCCGCGCCCTGTCCAACTGACAGCCTTGCTCCGTCTCGCGCTCAAGCTCATGCCGCAGACGCGCTACCTCATCCGTCCTCTGCCGCTGCTGCGCTTCCAGCTGCGCTTGCAGCGCCACCGCACGGTGGACTTGCGCTTGCAGCTGGGCCCGGATGGCCCTCATGTGCGCCGTCTGCTCGGGCAGCGGGGGCCTCTCGGACCCTGGGCTCGACGGGTCTCGCTGGGTCGCTTTCGCTATGGCCAGCGACGCGCGTAACTGACGTTCCACTCGGCGGCATTCCTGTCGCAGCTCGGCCGCCTGAATATCGCGCTCAGACCGCTCTGCGGCAGCGTCCGCTGCCTGTGCGTCTAGCAGTCCGCGGTATAGCGCACCTTGCTCGGCTGTGCTCTCCAGTCGATCGCTCAGGCAGAGGAACAGGGCCTCAACTTTCGCGGGATCGAGCCCGGGTATCGCCGGCTCGGGCTCGGGACGGGGCGACTGTTCCGTCACGGAGCCATGCGCGCGCCGCTCCGGCGGGGGGCTTGATGGAGTCGACAAGGGAGTCCGTCGTAACGGACCAACCTTCACCGTCGTCTCCGGCTCGTGAGCTGGTGGCAATGACGCTGACAGTGACGCTGATGCCGGCGCTGATGCTGATGCTGACGTTACTACTGGCGCGAATACGGGCGATAGCGCGGCGTCCCTTGGACGAGTGTCATCGATGGCAGGTCGATTGATGCAGCACGTGATGGACCCGTCAATGCCCATTTCGATCAGCACGGATCGTGCTGATTGAGGACGTTGGAGAGTTGACAATGACGAGGCTGTTGCCCTGGCCGTCGGAGGTGTCGTCGTGGTCGTGGGCGAAGCGGTGGCCGTGGATGCTGTCGTCACGGGTGCTGGCGTCGTCATGGATGCCGTGGTGTCCACGGGGGTGGGAGTGGCCATGGCTGTGGCTGTGACTATGGGCGATAGTGAGGCCGTGACTGTTGGTGGAACCGGAACCATGGCGACTGGCGAGGCTGCCGTCGTGGCCGCGGCTGTCGTTGCGACCTTGACAGGAGACCAGCGTGGAGTGAGGACCTCGGCGACCCCAGAAAGGGTTGCGAAGGCCCCCAGCGGCAAACCACCCGTTGATGGCGCTGATGCGGCGCCGTCCTCGGACGGGATCGAGGTCCGACGTGGCCCTGGGGTCGAGGGTAACGCGAGACGGGCTTCAGGCCGTATGCTCGGCGCCGTCGATGGCCACGTTGTGTCCTCTGGCACACGCTGCGTCGATAAGCGCTGTGGAGCAGGTTCGCCGCGATGGAACGCATGCAACGACATCTTTCTCACCGATCGACTCAGCTGCTTGTACGACGCCAGCAGGCGCCTGTGGTGCTCAGTAAAGGAATCCGGTGGGGAAGCGGTGTGATCCGTGAGTCGCCGATGTGTCGAGACAAGAGAGAGATCACGGGAATCGGTCGAAGCGTGATGATTGGATGCGGGAGGGGACGGCGAGTCGGTCGGAACATCTATCGTGCTTTGGACCTCGCGGGTGGAATGCTGCAGCTCACGCACCATCCTCACAGCCTTCGCCAGTTTGTCCTTCAGCTGCTGATTCCGTCGCTGCGCCTGAGCGAGCGCCTCACGCAGCGGTTCGCTGGCCGCATCCAAGTAGGCGGCGCTGTCACAGGCCATTTGGACCGGCTGATGCGCGGCGACCGCACGCTGCACCGCCTGCTCAAATTGAGCGAGGTCAGCTGTATCCAGATGCGCGAGAAGGAGATCCTTCTCTGCGAGGAGATCCATTGCGGTATGATATTGCTTCTGGAGTGTCATGGCTTCGTCGCGCAGCGTCATAATCTCGGAGCGGAGCGCCTGCACTTCGCCGCGTCCGGCCACACGCATGTGTTTCAGAAATTCGCCCTCTCGGTCCACGAGGGTTTGCCGCGCGTGGCGCAGATTCCGCAAAAGTTTCGCAATGGCCGTCTTTTGGCGCTCGTTCTGAGTGCGCAACCGCGAGATCAGCGAGCTCGCGTGGCGCGACTGCGCCGAGTCCGTGACGGCCCCTTCTTCGCGCTGGACCAGGTGGTCCCACTCCTCGGCGAGCAACGCAAAGTCATGTTGCTGCACCGCGAACTCCCGGTGCAGGTGCTTGATTTCCTGGTCGCGCGCCGCAATTTCGGCGCGGAGCTGCGTCGTTTGCGAGCTCGAGAGCGCTTGCTGTATCTCGGTCTGTGCCGCCTGCGCGGCCACAAGAGCTTCGTCCTTCTGGGCCACAAGATCCTTGTAGAACGCGAGCTGGGACTGGGACTTCAGCAGCTCACGCTGGATGTCCGTCAGGAGACTGTCGTCCATCTGGCCGCGGGACTGGATTTGCGCCGAGAGATGCTGCAGCTGGTGTTTGAGATGACTCCGGTCTTTACCCATCTGGGTCAACAGCTCGTCGCCTTCCACAACCGCTTGCGCCAGACGCCGCTGCTCCGCCTGGCTCTGCTCAAAGTGATCCATGACCGCCATCAGCTCCTCAAGCAGGCGGACGTGCTCGGCCTCCCATTCGCTATTCTGCTCCGTCAACGCGCGAATTTCGGTTTCTAGAGCCGCTATCGTTGCTCGGTCATGCTGCGCATGCGAGTGGTCCACCGGCGACAGTGGCGCGTTCGTGACGACGGCCAGACGCTCTTTCAGGCTCATCATCTGATCGCGCAACGCGGCGTTTTCCTCGAGTAGCTGGCGTCGCAGCGCTTCCGTCTGGGACTGCCGCTCGCGCTCGGTTTGCAGCTGCTGCAGTGTCGCCTGGTATCGGGCATCAGCTTCATCGCGCTCGACTTCGACGCGCTGCAGCTCACGATCGAAGGCCGCATCATCGTCTTCGTCACGATCTGACTTTCGCCGAGCGCGCTGCGTCAGGACATCTTGGCTCTGCGCCAGCTCGGCCTCGGTGTCCGCAAGGATCGCCGTCTTGAGCTCCAGAGCCGTCTGGAGCACCTGGACGAGCTGCCGGATATTGTCATCAGTCGCATGGTTTTCGCCGGGACGCAGCACGCCCTGCGTGAGGTTGGGAAGCAGCTGATTCAGGCGATGCTCCCACTCGGCAATGGATTGGTCATCACCGACGCCCGACGTCTGAAGCTGCGCAATAGCTTGCCAGTCAAAATCAGACCCGGGCGGATCAAGCGACGGCCGGCCGGCAGTCGGCGCGTCATGGTGACGGTCATGGCCCCCATGGCCAATGGCCAGCGGCGTGAGGGAAGAAGCCATGCAGACGGGGTAACGATGTCCGCGTCGATGCCGCGACGGCGATCGGCGACAAAGGAGTAGAGTAGGCACTACGACGTCATGATTGGTGGAAAAAGGCTTAAGCAGCATGAAGAAGTTGAACTATGATCCGGTTGAAGGATCGGCAGGTCGGCAACCACGAGGGATCGAAAAACTTCATCTATTTGATATTTGAATCGCCGATCGACAACAGCAATAAATGACTCAAGCAAAACTCTCGAACGGGGAATCGAACCCCGGTCATCCGCGTGACAGGCGGAAGTACTAGCCACTATACTATTCGAGACATTTGTGTTGTTCTTTTTTTTGATAGACTATTACGCTTACTTTACTTGCATTGTTCCGGATCATATAAGGCACCTGGAGGGAAAGGAGGCCATGCATTCTCACTCTGTTAACTTCTTTTATAATCCCTCTTCCTATAATCCCGCTTTTCATCGTTAATCTTTTCTTATTTGCCCTTTGTCGTCTTCGAGGAATTTGTTATTTCCCGTTTTCACTGTGTTATGTTCATGTTCTTGCTATCTTGCTATCTTGTGCAACGCTTTGCCACCTCCATTTTTTATAGTTCGGTAGGCTTGGGGATTCGTCGAGCATTTCGCATCACTTTGTCGACCTGGGCGGCCACAGGGTTTTCTCGACCCCTTGCTGATTGCCCTCGGCCGCGTCCCTGACCTAAGCCAATGGCCGATCTGGCGACGCCCCATTAATCCTTGCGCGCCCCCCCTTCCGACTTTTCTTGTTCGATCAGTTGCTTCTATTCAAACCCGGAAACATAAAGTGGAGGTCGCACAAAGATATTTCGGTGTTCCCCTGCGGCACGTGCTAATCCCGATACCTTCGCTCGTTCATTCGCGACTACTCGAGTCGCCCACTTCTCGCGTGATCATAGGCTAGCTGGTAGCGCTCTCGATCGCCGAGGCAAGGGGACCGTGGTCCGAGATCTGCAATGGTGTGATGCCCATTGCCGCGTTGAACATCGGACGCTGTCTGACCTTACCCCTGAGACCGAAAGCGTTGTGCCGCAACCCGGGGCAAGCGCCGCTGCAGCCCAAGGTCGGCCAGCTTACCCGACACTGAACCAAAATGCGCGCTGTCTGGCGCGCTGCCCCTGGCACCAAGGAGGGCATGGTGCCCATGTTAGGTTGTCCCTATGTTCGAATAGAATATACAGAAAATAATGAGGAAGATTGAAGAGTGGCGAGCGGCAAGCGGTTCTGAACCGCCGTTGACGCGTGGTGTACACAGCAGAGCTCAGTCACATGGACACCCGCAGGGTTTATCGCCCGCATGATCTGCTTCCTGCACGGCCGGCTGCCCGGTAGCAGAACCATGAATCTTAGACTTCAGACCTTGGATCTTGGCCGTGCCGCCTAGCCGGGGGAGGCTGACATGATGAAGTGAGCGTAGGGCGTCTTCAGGGGGTCTGCCAAGTGGGGCAAATGACGGAAGTCGCAACCAAGACGAGGGGAGCGAGCCGAACACTGCAGAATGGAAACAAAGAAAGCGGCAAATATACATATTTTTTTTAGCAGACCGCATCGTGGTCAGGCGGGGCCGATGACGGGGCGCGAGAGGGACAGGCGACTACGACGGCGCGGGTCCCGTAGAAGTTGCTGAGCTTGGTTGCGCTGCCGTGCCCCACCTGAATCGGGATGCGGGTGTCGCCGAAGAATCGAAGACATTTTTCTTTCTGCCTGGGGCTGCGGACCTGGTAGAGGACGTCGCAGAGGCTGTGCGGCAGGATGGCCTTGCGATTCATGACGACTGTGCGTGACAAGTCGCCGTCGTGGAGGGTGGATGTGCCGTGTCGCGGGTGGAGCAGCATACGCGTGATGGAAGCACGCGAGTGTGTAGCGTCGCGAAGCGTCATGAGGAGAGAGAGAGAGAGAGAGAGAGAGAGAG